TTTGATAGGAAGGTTTGATGTTGGGTTCCACCCGAGAACGAGGGGCCAATGAAAGATTGACACGTGTCAATGCGTTTAAAAAATTGCTGTAGTTGCCTTCTTTAGTCCTTGTATTTATGATTTGATGCTCGAAATTGTAATGTGCGTTACAGCTGTCTCCAAATTTTTCTACAATTATTTTTTTTTAATTGTAATTTTGGAGTGATTTAATTTCAGTCACAATATAATNGGGTTTAAAATATTGCTGTAGTTGCCTTCTTTAGTCCTTGTATTTATGATTTGATGCTCGAAATTGTAATGTGCGTTACAGCTGTCTCCAAATTTTTCTACAATTATTTTTTTTTAATTGTAATTTTGGAGTGATTTAATTTCAGTCACAATATAATAAAGGAGTTGGTCTAATAGTTAGGCCTTTAAATTATTCGTTTGCACTTCATCCTCCCCATCTATGTAATAGTTTCCGACAAAAAAAAATAGACAACTCTCCCCTTCTATTTACATTCTTGTCCATTTGAGTTCCATTGATTTTGAGCTTTTATCTTTAAAAATTATTTTTTGATATACTTGTTGCAGTTTANGGGCCTTTAAATTATTCGTTTGCACTTCATCCTCCCCATCTATGTAATAGTTTCCGACAAAAAAAATAGACAACTCTCCCCTTCTATTTACATTCTTGTCCATTTGAGTTCCATTGATTTTGAGCTTTTATCTTTAAAAATTCTTTATTGATATACTTGTTGCAGTTTATTCAACTCAAGCGAAAATAGTTTAAACAAGTCATTAAAAATCTAGTTTTAAAGAGTTAGTCACAATATAGTTTTGTGAAGTTCTTTTAAAAAGTTTCTTTTAACTTTTTAAAAGATACAGCAAATACAACTTATAACTTGAAATGATTCATTTAACATAACGCTATATGAATTTAAAAATTAAATTTGATAATTATAACTATTAATTTTATTGTGGGTTTTAGTATTTATTGAAATTCACTACCTATTCAATAATTGTGATTATCAAATTTTATTTTTAAATCCTTATAACATATTACTCATTCCTTTATCTTTAAAAAGAGAAGTAAGTCTATGCACAAATTGATAAAAACATTTGAAGGGTAATTTTTTTAAAAGGAAAAATGTAAAATTTGAAGATTGGGCTCCCATGTGAATTCATCTATTTGTTTCATTTTTTTTGTTTGACACTATTATAGACAAATATCAAAATTTTGTTTGGTTGTATTTTTTTGATCACTTAAGAAACAAAACGTTTCGACGTGTTATGAAAATATTTTGATCCGTTTAAAGAACATAATCAAAAAAATTAAAAAATTTAATAATTATTTTTCCAAAATATAGATCGAAATAAACTAAAGGATTTTGAAATACTTTGAAACATTCCAAAAAAATTGTGTAAATGCATTGAAATATTACAAAACGCCTCAAAATGTTATAAAACACCTCGAAATATTATAAAAACACATCAAAAATATTATAATTTTGATTTGATTCATTTCGGTCTCCTTAAAAAACAGAAAAGTTTTGAATGTTTCCTGTTTGAAATAAAATTTTGATCATTGATTATGTGAGATATGAACGACAAATTTATTTCATACTTAATTTGCACACGAACAGCCAAGAACGATGAGATCGAATTATACATGATTCAAATTTTCTTTCATTTTATGTATATTTCTATAATATTATTCTTTGTCTAATTAGATTGATGTTGCTATGTTTGAAGTTTAACGGTGATCAAATAAGAGTTGTTTTTGTTGTTATTTTCTAAATTAAACTTCAAGATGATAAAGTTAGCATATATTTAAAGCCATCTTAATCCCCATGCCTTGCGTTCAACAACTACCAATAGGGGTGCAATTTGGGTTGGGCAATCCGAATTCAACCCGAGTCCAACTCGAAAAAATTAGGGTTTGGACAAGGGTTTTTAATACTTGGGTTGAGCTTAGGTCAAAAAATTCTAACCAGAATTGAATTTGGGTTGGGCTCGGGTTAAAACCTCATGAACCCGAGTTCAACCCGAACCCAAAAAATTAAAAAAAAAATTTATATATATATAAAGTATTAGCACTAATTTTTATTTTTGTTCTATCGTTTTTTGTCTCTCTCGTTCTCTCAGCCTCTCTCGTTAAAAACTTGGTTGAAATTATTGATTGTTAATTTAGATGAATATGATGTAGTATATGTATTAGGTTTAGAACAACAAGTCTATTTTTGGCTCTAACCGAATTGAACCCGTAAAGNTTGTCTCTCTCGTTCTCTTTGCCTCTCTCGTTCTCTCAGCCCCTCTTGTTAAAAACTTGGTTGAAATTATTGATTGTTAATTTAGATGAATATGATGTAGTATATGTATTAGGTTTAGAACAACAAGTCTATTTTTGGCTCTAACCGAATTGAATCCGTAAAGTAACCCAAAATTAACCCGAATTCAACCCGAGCCCGCGCCGAATTAAACTCGGGTAGTGCTCGGGTTGAGTTTCCCAACCCGAGGTAGGGTTAAGGTTAGAATTAGGGTTAAAAATTATATACTTAGGATTGATTGTTCAACCCGTCCAATCCACCCGAGTTGCACCCCTAACTACCATAAAACAGCAAACCTAAAGCCTTGTTTGGTAAGAGGGACAAATAGGTGAATGGAAAGCTGAGGATGGAATATGAGAGAGAATGAAGAATTTTTTATTGTTCGGTGATAAAGAAAAAGTGAATGAAAAGGAAAAATGGTAGGAAATAGTTTCCTTTGGCCCCACTAATTCTTATCCACCTAAATATGGACGGAAAAATGGGAGAGTATTGTTGACTGTAATAGGTAATGGAGTCAATTTATATTTATATCTTTATTAATTATATATTTTCTATAACTATCATGCTNCAACAACTACCAATAGGGGTGCAATTTGGGTTGGGCAATCCGAATTCAACCCGAGCCCAACTCGAAAAAATTAGGGTTTGGACAAGAGTTTTTAATACTTGGGTTGAGCTTAGGTCAAAAAATTCTAACCAGAATTGAATTTGGGTTGGGCTCGGGTTAAGGCNCAAGAGTTTTTAATACTTGGGTTGAGCTTAGGTCAAAAAATTCTAACCAGAATTGAATTTGGGTTGGGCTCGGGTTAAGGCCTCATGAACCCGAGTTCAACCCGAACCCAAAAAATTAAAAAAAAAATTTATATATATATAAAGTATTAGCACTAATTTTTATTTTTGTTCTATCGTTTTTTGTCTCTCTCGTTCTCTCAGCCTCTCTCGTTAAAAACTTGGTTGAAATTATTGATTGTTAATTTAGATGAATATGATGTAGTATATGTATTAGGTTTAGAACAACAAGTCTATTTTTGGCTCTAACCGAATTGAACCCGTAAAGTAACCCAAAATTAACCTGAATTCAACCCGAGTCCGCCCGAATTAAACTCGGGTACTGCTCGGGTTGAGTTTCCCAACCCAAGGTAGGGTTAGGGTTGAAAATTATATACTTAGGGTTGATTGTTCAACCCGTCCAATCCGCCCGAGTTGCACCCCTAACTACCATAAAACAACAAACCTAAAGCCTTGTTTGGTAAGAGGGACAAATAGGTGAATGGAAAGCTGAGGATGGAAAATGGGAGAGAATGAAGCATTTTTTATTGTTCGGTGATAAAGAAAAAGTGAATGAAAAGGAAAAATGGTAGGAAATAGTTTCCTTTGGGCCCACTAATTCTTATCCACCTAAATATGGACGGAAAAATGGGAGAGTATTGTTGACTGTAATAGGTAATTGAGTCAATTTATATTTATATCTTTATTAATTATATATTTTCTATAACTATCATGCTAACTACCATTTGTATAAAGGGCATAATTTTAAAATATTGTTATATAACTGATACATGGTAAGACACTTGATGACATTATTTAATTATTTTTTTGTAATAAAATTCTAAATCACATATGTAATTTTTTTTTCTATATCGAACAATAAAGAAAAATTCTATTGTAAGAAGTAAATGCCAAATAAATTTCTTTTCATTTCTCTTCTAAATGAACACATGTACTATAAATTCAAGTAGGACCTATTATATATATATATAATTCAAACACTAATTAACAATAAATTTATAATTTAAACTTAAAAAGACGTTATAGATTTACGATTTCGTCTATTTACAGCGTAAATTGAGTTGTTGACTATTTTTTTTGGTATACATATTTGTATTTATTTGTTTATTTATTTTTATAACTAATTAGAGTGACATTGAATCCCTTAAATTTATTTATAATAAACAATTATTTATATATAAGGATATAATGATAAATAAAATACATATATCTTTTTTTTCCTTTCACTTTTTTTCGAATACCAAACAATAAAAAATTAATTCTTTCAACTTTCCATCTATTGTACCAAACACAAAAGAGAAAAAATATTTTTATTTTTTTTAAAGATGAAAAGTATATTTTTACGCTTTTTAATTTTTTTAATTTTTCATCCCTTCGTTTCAAAAGGAGGATAAGAATCATTTCTCTTCCGGCCGAGAAAAGCCATTTTTTTCCTCTCTTATTTTAATGAAGAAACACCAATTTGAAGTCAACAGTTTATCCATTTTTCAGGGTTCATTATGCTGCTAGACACCAAAGTTTTAGCCACAATCAGAAAAGGGAGGGGGTAGTCGCTATGCTCACATCCTTATTTTTCAGCCTGCAGTCATAGATTCCATTTTCACATCCAGTTCTGCTTGTCAGTTTCTGCCCCTCTCTCTCTCTCTCTCTCTCTCTCTCTCTCTCCGCAATAATTTATGATTACATTTCATCCAATCAACTTGCCTTAATGACCTTTTCTGTCCACACTGACACGAACTCTTTCTATGTAACCATTTCTCTTTCCTTTTATAACTTTTTTGGGGTTAAATAAAAGACTAAAAACAGAGTCTTTACTCTTGAAATTAAAAATTCTCCAAACCTGTTTCAACCCTATCCTCTCATTTCATTTCTGGTTTTGACAACAAGTTTTGAGTTGCAAGAATGACTGTTGAGCAGGAAATTGATGAGCAGAATGATCAGTTTCCAGTGGGTATGCGGGTTCTGGCCGTGGATGATGACCCAACTTGCCTCATGCTATTAGAGACTCTGCTTCGTAAATGCCAATACCATGGTCTGTTTCTTTTTTTACACTTCAATAATTTTGATTATTCCTCAATTTTTTGATTTGGTTGTGAATTTTTGCAAAAAGGGTCCTTAGATTTGGGCATCTTTTTGAAGATTTTGTTTTTCTTTCGGTGTTAGAAGAGAATATATGCAAGATATTTTTTTCTCTCTCTCTTTCTTCAATTTGTTTTGGTGAGATTTGGGAGATAGGTTTTTGGATTTGTGCAATTTTATTTGGATTTTTTTCTTCGTTTAGTTTTTTGGAAGTCAATTTATGCAACTGCTCTTTATTTCCCCGCAACACATACCCGTTTGTGAATTGGTTTTGAGTTTTGGGAGATGAATTTTGTTCACAGATGATTGGAATATAATTAAGTCTCTATCTCTCTCACACAAACACGCAAACACATTTCTAGGTATCATATTTTTTGATGATTTAGTTGTGAAATCTGCGTTATTGATTTCACTGGACAGTGAGTTAAACTACAGTTTACTAGCACAAAAGAAAACACCCAGCTGAATTTCGTAGAATTTAAGAAAAATGCGGATCTTCTTGGAAAATGGGTAAATAAGTTCCAAAAATGGGTTGTTAAAGCTGTTAAAATCTTGGTCATTACTGCAAGATTATTGACTGTTACATTTGTATCTTTTCTATGAAATCACAAATCAGTTTTATTTGAGTTTGGATTTAAATTTGAACTAATACAGTTTGATTGTACTTATGTTCTCTTTCCTTTTCATTCCTTGGTAAATGCTAATGAGTTGGTCTGCTTTTAAATATGGGACATGGGTTTTGCAGTTACAACAACCAGTCAAGCAATCACCGCCCTGAAAATGTTGCGTGAAAACAGAAACAAGTTTGATTTAGTTATCAGTGATGTTCATATGCCAGACATTGATGGTTTTAAGCTGCTGGAGCTTGTGGGGCTTGAGATGGACCTACCTGTTATAAGTGAGCTAATGAACGCCTTTGCATTACTTATCATTATAGAGTATCAGACTTATGTTCTTGCCTGTCTGGTATTCTGTTTTGAATTGCTGGTGATTGATAAGTGAATCTGTGTTCTCAAAAAGGATCATTCAATTAGCTATAAAAGAAGTAATAGTTGTCCTGATTCATTGCTTTCCCATGAAATTTTGTTGTCCAAATCTGTGGCTTACACTTTCTAAATTTGTTCAAATAACTGTAAAGTAATATACTTTTGATGTCTGTAAATTGAAGTAGGAAATAGGAATACACTGCTGGTGGTTGTGCTTTGGCTGGGCTGTGATATAATTTTTGCTTTTTTGTGTAATTCCAGTGTTATCAGCCTATGGAGATACCAAGCTTGTGATGAAGGGAATTTCTCATGGGGCTTGTGATTATTTGTTGAAACCTGTTCGAATAGAGGAGCTAAAGAACATCTGGCAACATGTAATTAGGAGAAAGAAGTTTGATGCCAAGGACCAGAAAAATTCTGACAAGGCTCATTTTGAGTCTGGTGAAGTAGGAGAAGGGTTCCCTGGAACCGGAGATTCTGACAAGAGTGGGAAGCTCAATAGGAAAAGGAAGGACCAGAATGTCGACGAGGATGAGGAGCGTGATGAGAATGGACAAAATATTGAGGATCCATCAACCCAGAAGAAACCTCGAGTTGTTTGGTCGGTGGAGCTGCATCGCAAATTTGTTGCAGCTGTACATCAATTGGGCATTGACAGTAAGTTCTTCCCTGTTCATAACGCCTAGTTTTTCAAATTTCTTAGAGAATTTTTGCACTATTTTCTGTTTATCTTTTAGCATCGCACAATTTATGCACTATGATTCATTTCCATTTAGTAATTAGATCGTACAACTGGATATAAGTCATTGTTTTTGAAAATCCTAATCTACCAATATTTTCCACTCATGTTGGTTACTAATATTCTCTGATATGTTCATGAGCTTGAAAGAATTCCTCTTACTGACTGAACTACTTCTGATATCTCTGAAATTTCTTGTGTGTTATTGATCATATATGCTGAGCCTCTCTCTTGCAAAGGGCTTTTCATTTTTCCTTTCATCAAATTTCACGTACTTTTTTTGCAGAGGCTGTGCCTAAAAGAATTCTAGAGTTGATGAATGTGGACAAGCTTAGCAGAGAGAACGTGGCAAGCCATCTCCAGGCACAAAACTTTTTTTTCCTTCCCTCTGTTGCATATCATAAACTCTTTTCTTTTATCAGAGCTTACTATCTTGCTCTATGGATGCAGAAATATAGGCTGTATCTGAAAAGGATTAGTTGTGTAGCAAGTCAGCAAGCTAGTATGGTTGCAGCTTTAGGAAGTTCAGATTCTACTTATTTACGAATGAGTTCTTTGAATGGGCTTGGAGATCTTCGACCTGCGGCTGGCTCTAGACAATTTCAGAATGCTGCTTTCGGATCCTTCTCACCCAGTAGTGTAATTGGTAGATTGAACACTCCGGCTGGTCTGGGTATGCGTGGCCTTTCTTCTTCAGGAACGGGTCAATTGGGGTTTACACAAAACTCAAGCAATCCCATTAATGATCTGGCTAATTTCCACTCAGTTATACAAACTGGAAATCAAAATGGGAATATACTTCAAGGATTGCCATTGTCATTAGGACTTGATCAACTACAACATAATAAGGTTATTACTCAAATTGGAGAGCTCAACTCCACTGCTAATGATTCCATGGTTCATCCCATTTCCAATGGCTTCTCGGATATGAAAATAAATGTTGGTAGCTCAAGAAATTCCCTTTTGGGTGTTCCTAATAATGCCGCAACATTACAAGGTCACCTTCAAAACAACCAAAGAGCAGGGATTTTTGGAAATCATTCTTCTGTTGCAGATGTGTCCTTAGATTCTAAACTTTCTTCTCCCTTGCTGGATTTTGGTCGATGTAATGACAACTGGCCATCTGCTGTTCAATCATCTGAGGTCCAATCTGATTCTTTTACATTAAGACAGTGTTTCAAACAGGCCACTCCAAGTGACTTGAGAGGTGATGTTTCTTCAATGGCCATGCATATAATGACTAATCCTCGGGATGTGTCTTCCATAATCTCAGTAGTGCCAGATACAGGAACAGATTTACCATCTCGAGCGGAACAAGTTAGCAGTAATGCTGGTCAGAATATGGATTTTGCCTTAAAGCAAGGGTGGTATGACCCCAAAGAGGATGCAGCTCATCACTCAAACCTTACATGCATCTCAATGAATTCTTCAATCTATCCTGACACTGTGGTAGGTCCATACATCCAGAGGTCAGACGCAAGGAAAAAAAATTGCCATACAAGTAGTCATTTAAATGTGATTGGACAATCAAATTGTCTAGATCATCCCTTAGTTATGCAGCATAAGGAGGTTGAACAATCAGTTGTAGAGACAACACTGAAGTCTAACCAAGGTTATCTAAAGGAGCAAAGGAAGCCTCTGGGAAATTATGCTTATGACAATGTTGGCTCCTTGGAAGACGTAGTAAGTGCGATGATGAAACAGGTATGGTTAAGTATTAAGTTTGCTGTTTTGATTTCCATGTTTTTTTTTTTTTTTTTTTGGGGGAGGGGGAGGGGAAAGAGGAGGGAGACTTGAACCCTTGACCTTAAGAAGGCAAAACCTTCGCAAGGTAAAGAGTATTATTGGATCAAAGGNGTTTTTTTTTTTTATTTTGGGGGAGGGGAAGGGGAAAGAGGAGGGAGACTTGAACCCTTGACCTTAAGAAGGCAAAACCTTCACAAGGTAAAGAGTATCATTGGATCAAAAGCCCATTAGTCGATTGATTTCCATAGTGATCTTTGCTTATGAGTCTTGATCTTGAACCCTTAATTAAACAATTCATCGTGCTGACCTGCGGGTGTGGATGCTGCAACTATAATCTTATTAAAGATATAACTATAACAGGAACTTTTTGTAACTTACAATGTGTTGCATGCTTATTTCTTGACTCTGTTCTCCACTTCTCAAATAGACCTTGTTAGATTTGTTTTTCCTGTTAGTAAATAGGACTTTCCCAAAAGCAGGACGAGACATATTAAATCTGCGGATGCTGCTAAGCCTCGTTTGCAAATTGCTTTCCCTTTGTCTGTTGCTGGTACAGAAAGACACCTAGTGTTCTTGCTTTCCTAGTCAGCTTAACGTATCATGAACATTAAGTGTGTTGTTAGAAATAGGACGGCTAAGGTTTCATTTCATTCTGCATCTCTATCAGTATTGGATCTCTAGATCTCTGCCAGTAGGAATATAAAGTTCATGTTACTATGGAGTTGTGTGCACATTACACTTTTGCTAGATTCCATAGGTCTTGGCCAATTGTTAGACTCTAGGGCTTCCTGAACATTTGTTTTTGGTGGGGGTAGTGATGAGTTTAATCTCCCTGCAACCTTGAACGAATTAGGGTTTTGCTAGGCCTATACTTAGTAGTTTAATCAAATTATTTGCACCACACTATGCATTTATAAATCCAGAACAAGAAATTAGTTCATAAGTTAACGTCCGATACTTCAAATCTAACATCGATCAGATATATTCTAATTCAGAACAGGAACTTGCCCTTCTTTGTTTTGCCATGGATTCTAAAATCAATATTGCCAAATAATTTTGTTGTAGTCTTCTGGTCTCATGTAGGGATTCCTTCAGTCAGCTCCTTAATACTTTAGAAACAGAAACACCAAAATTTATTTCCTTNTGCCAAATAATTTTGTTGTAGTCTTCTGGTCTCATGTAGGGATTCCTTCAGTCAGCCCCTTAATACTTTAGAAACAAACACCAAAATTTATTTCCTTCCCATGAACAAAATTGTTTACACTTAAACATCAAATCATTATTAATGAGTTTCTTTTCCTCATTGCGATTTTTTCCAGAATTTTGCATAAGCAGCTTACTAAAAACTTTGATGCTGTCATAAACTTGCTATTATCATATTGGAACTTAGTATATGATATTTCCAACCCGAAGAGAAAATCTACTCATAAGAGGACATATCTGTTTACACCTGGTGTCACCTTGGGGTAAGTTTTATGTGATCCTCACATTTGTCAAAACTCCCCATTGAATTAAAGCTCCACTTATTAATGTCATGCTTGCCAAAATTTAAGTGGATCAGAGATCAAGAAATGCCAAATTGAGATAGTTAGCGTTTTATAATATAATCATAAGTTGGAGCACTATTTTGGTGGGGCATCTTTTGTTGTTGGATTGATTTGCAACTTGGCAAGTACAATGGCTTCAAGAGAAGGATACAGTACCAAATGCAGATTCTGAGAACTATAATCCACACAAAAGGTTGTTTGGTGATGTAAGACGTTTACTCTCTCTCGGACACCAAGTGCAAATGTATCTCCCCCATATACATTAAGGACAGGTCCAAAAAAAACAGCAAATTTTCAAACCATTTCAACTCATTGGGCTTAGGCTTAGCATCTCAACCTCAGGTGTGGTCTTAGTTCTCACAAACATTTTCCTTGAAGAATCCAAAGGATGTTATTTGCACCTTCTTCAATGCTTTTGCTAATGACATTGATATGTTCAAGATGCAAATGCTATAGCTTAGAAGGCTAGAGAATGTGCTTTTGACCAACATCTATCCTTATCATCCTTTAGATACTCCCTTATCCTCCGCGCTAATTTCCTTGCAAGAACATATGGTCACATGTTGCCTGGTCATTGACGAAAGATCTTATTAACACTCCTAGGCAAGGTGACAAATATACCAGATTTAACCATAAAGTAGTGGCTAGCCAACGACCTAGTATATGGCAAGTTTGCTTCAACCTTAACGCTGCGTGAAAAGCAACTACAATAATTCAACAAATGGAAGGTGGGACATAGGGATAAGTTAACCAACTAATTTCTCTTACCTGCCTCCTCTTCTCTTTGACACCAGATGCTATTAAGGGCCTCCATCATCAGAACGGACCTTTTAAACAATCAATAATCCTGCTGGAGTGCCACCGACTAAAACTAAAGACCTAGTCAGCAGGATTCATCCTTTCCATATCACAATATTCCATTCTTCCCATGATAATTCTTATAGGCTGGAGACCCATTATGCTTCCGTCCAGAAATTAGTCTACAACTTTATATAACCTGAATGCTGAATACAACCACCATTTAGTTGCAATAAACAAGTTTCTGACTTTATTGAGGTTTTGAATTAGTAGAGTAGGATTAAAGATCTCAATGGAATTCCATGAGAATCAATTATTCTCTCCAATGAAGTTGTCATTTTAGTCTAATAGCAGTTACCATGAAAATATTTCAGGCATGATATCACATTTATGCCATTCTTGCACTACAAATTGATGTCATTGCTTTACTACCTTTTGTGACTTGCAAAATTAGACTTTTTAATAAATTGTAGATGTCACATCTAATTTTATCTACTTAGTTCCACTTTTGATTGCAACTTCGTGTCCTTCGCTAACCCCATCCAACCTCACCTTGACCAAATCTATGATTCAGAGTGAGCTCTTAATCCGCTCTAAGAATTCTGGAGTCTGGACTCTCTGATTGGAAGAAGTCCTTGTTGAGTTCCACTTTCTATCCAATCCAGGGAACTGCCTTCTTCCACCTGATTTTACATGTGTAACTGGAGAGCTCCCCTTTCGTAGATCAAGGTGACCTTCTCTTTGAATATCTCATGAGAGAGGAAGAGGTTGGCTTCCTTCTGGTTTCCATCTCCTTGATCCCCACATTTTCTCTCATGGTTGAAATTGGTGGTTCTGATAATTACCAGTGTGGGATGAAGAGCTTAGAGATGTAGAAAGATGAGATATTTCCAGTAGTTGCTTGAGGTAATTTTCTGGGGAGCTTATTTGGTTAGGAACAGGACAGTTTTCCTTGGGTTTTGATTTGGTGTCAGATATGTTTCTAGGTTTGACGAAGTCTATCTGTGAGTTCAGTTTTAAACGCTAGATACAATTGTTTTAGACGGATAAAATGAAGATCTTAAGATCTGAAAGTTGAAGGGATGGGTTGATGTTTTTTGAGCTTGTTCCGACATTGATTCCTTGGAAGTTTGGTGGCGATAAAAATTTTGGAGCTTGTTCTTANTAGACGGATAAAATGAAGATCTTAAGATCTGAAAGTTGAAGGGATGGGTTGATGTTGTTTTTTGAGCTTGTTCCGACATTGATTCCTTGGAAGTTTGGTGGCGATAAAAATTTTGGAGCTTGTTCTCAATTATTGATTTCTTTGAAGCTCGTTTATGGGGTTTTCCAATTTGAATAAGCTTGCTGAAAGAAGCACTTGAGCTCTTTCAAAAGTCTAAGTTTATGGAGTAATCCCATGGATTTAAGTTAGTTTGGGGATGAAGATGCTGGTTATACGACGCATGGACAATACAGTTCGTCTTGTGCACATGTGCCCATGCAAATTCTTGGGTATGGTGGGCAGGACATAAAGATGCTTCCAGGGAAGCATTTTGCTTTCTGCGTGCATCTTTTTTTCACTCTGGAAGTATTGTGATGAGGATTAGTCTGTTTACTTCCAATTTTGTGCTGTTTGAATGAGTACCTAGATTTTGCACAATATACACCTTCTAGTTAGAATCTCGAATAATATCCTCTGATAATCCTTCTTGTTTCATGATGCTTCACATCACCAATAACTACAGTATGATATAGAACCTAGGTGATTTGTTTATGATGTTATGTTAATGTCGGTTAAATGAAAATTTTACTTTCTAAGCCATTACGTTTCATATTCAATTTCATTTTTATCGTTGAAAACAAGTATCCCCTTATTTTACTGTGATCCTGAACAAGACTTTTGGATTATTACAAGTCTACCTAATCTTCTGATTAGAACAATTACTTTCAAGTTTCTTCTTTTAAATAGTAAATAAGAGATTGTTACATGATGCAGGAACAAGACAATCTGATGTTTAAGGACGACGATTTTGGATCTGATTATTACTCACAAAGGTGAAGAGATGTTAGAAGGCAGATGACATTGTATGTGATTACTCTCTTTCTAGGATTTGCATTTGAAGGTAGAATTGTAGTCAGACTCCTAAGAAGAGGATTTAGAGCAGACTAATACCTTATTTTATGGGTTTCTCATCATGTAATTCATAATTCCACTATCTAAGTCACTTCTCTGAAATTATTGTAACTGTTAAGTTATTGCAATGGCTATTTGCTTTTATTGTCTGACTACCAAAATCTGTTCTTATTATGACTGAGCATTGCCAAGGGAATGTGTCTGACATGTCATTTGTAATGAGTTTCACTTTAAACAAGTCTACCTAGGTTGTTACATGTGTCTGACATGTCATTTGGTGTAAAAAAACCCCCCCAAGANAAACAAGTCTACCTAGGTTGTTACATGTGTCTGACATGTCATTTGGTGTAAAAAAAAACCCCCAAGATGAACATGACACATTTAATTAATCGTATCGAATTGACTAACACTAACAATATCTGACCATTAAACATGACCTGTTTGACCCAAACACGTGTTTAACATGTTTAATAGATGGGTAATTTTCAGGTTGACATAACACACATAAGATCCATGAGACACACTTGGGTATACTACTGGTATTTGGGTCAACACGATATGTTCAACCTGTTTATTACAAATAAATACGTAATTCATCTAAAGTTTCGAATAATTTTTTCACCAATAACACTTCTCATTAATGAAATTAAGTCAAATGCATTTCTGCCAAGAACTAGAGTTGGATAAAGCTAGAACTTTTAAAACTAATAATGTTAAGACGTGATTAGAGCTACATAACATGATGTAGGCAGACTGCCATACGTAAGAAACAAAAATCAGTCGTAGTGCATGGGTGCCTAAATCATAATCCAAAAGTCAGGTCTTGATCGACCGAAAGGAGGGCATCAAATGTCAGTTTTGATCATCCAAGCATGGTGCATTGGTGCCTATCTTGGCAGTTGACCGATCCTAATTAAAAGAAGAAATAATTCAATCAAAAAAGACAAAAAAGACAGTCCAAAAATCAAACCAGACAAGACTTATTACCACAAAATCAAGCTAGTCTATGTACCTCCGATGAATAATCATCATCAATCACAGTTGAATCATTATGGGTGACATTGATATTCATCATATCTTCTATAACGTCATCCATTTGTTTGGGTGCATGATCTAAACGAAAT